AGAGGAGATGACAGTCTGTGAGACAGGAGATATGTCCAAGGCAAGCATTTCTGATGGTTTTGGATGAAGGAAAAAAAATCTATAAAAGAAACCCCAAAACCTTTGCATTCCAGACATTCCCATCAGTCCAGTGGCTAGGCTGGTTTGTGAGATTTTTCTTTGCTCAACAGCATATTGGACCTGCTGCAAATGGCCATATATTTCCATTGAGTGACTGACACTGTCAGGGTTTGCCTGGTGAGGCCATTCTGTTCTTGGGAAGGGCTATAAAGGTGTCCCAGGAACACAGATCCTGCCTTGTGGGAAGACACTAAAACAGTTCTGCTACTTTAGCCTTGCAAAATACCAGGTAAAAGGGGAGATAATTGCTGTCTATAAATAGATTAAGGATGAGGGAGACAGTGCAGAAATATCATAGAAAAGGAAAGCTATTTAGGCTCAAGGACAAGAATAAGATAAAGAGAAAATGAAAGTGAATAAACAACACTGGAAACAGAGGTTTCTAACTATCAGATCACAGAGGAAAGGAGCTGAGTAGTAAAAGCAAGTGCAAACATACAACTCAAATAGATTTAAAGAGGAACCTGACCAGTCCGTGCACTACCCCGGACTCAGTTGCCCAGGCCAGTGCTTTCTCTCTTATGTTCCTCATTCCAAATGACATCATACAAAATACACCTAAACCAAGGCATTCAGGGCCACAATTTTTGACCCCTATAGTCTCTGCCTGATAGTTCAGGCATAATCTTTGCAAGTAGTAATAGCACCTGCTGTCTGAAGTGAAGGATTTGCTTCAAGAGACAGAATTTAAGAAGAGGGGCATCTTTGGTAGCTTTTCTTATGCTATTTCTGCCTAAAAATGCAAGGCAAAGTATAATCTCTCTTCCCCACCCTTCAGTCAGTAGAGACCTCCACACAACTATTGCCTTGAGGTTTTATCACTTTTTGCAAAGCATGACTCCCAAAGAAAAGCCCAACTGTTTTATTTCCACATGATCCATTATTTCCAATATCAAATTCAACACAGAGCAGAAAGCAGTTGTTCAGAAACTCAATATAAGACTTGAAGAGTCTCTCACTACAATTAGTAAAGGAAAAAAAAAAATCACGTTACCGCCACTGCCCCATGCTGATTCCAGAGGTTTTTCGCAGACCTGGAGTGGTGACAGAATAAATAAATATTGGGACTATAACAACAGAGAACTATAAATAAAATGGCCCATTTTTCTTGAAAGCTCTTCTGGGGTTATAGTATCACATAGGTGATCACATGAGTGACCACATGCTTCACATGTGCCTATCGTAAGTACATCAAAAGATCTTTCTCTAAAGTCATACTTTGATGTTTCCATTTGCTCTTACATCTAGAGAAAAATCACGGCAAAGGCTTCTAAATTCACTCACTCCTAGTTTTATTGGTCTCTATTTCTCTCACAAGGATGAGTTGCTTGTGACAGGCACTAAACAGGCAAGTGGGCAGAGGTGTCTGTATTAACATGCCACATGCTGCACAGAGAGATAGTAGCCTGTTTCAATCCATGCTGAGCTCTGTGGAGACAACCTAGCCCTGCTATGAGGAGGATCCTTGAGCTCTTAAAATAATTCCCAGATATAACCCTGGATAGCACCCTGGGCTGAGCCCAAGTGGTGTTGAGACAGTGCATCTTTGTGCAAGCTCAGCCTGTGCTGCACAACCCTGTGACTGGGCTTAGCACATGAGGACTGGCATCTATCTGCAAGAACCTGTGTGGACACATCCACTTACATCCTCTTCCTCTAGGCTGCTTCAGTGCTACTTACCCCACTCCACAGAGAGCATCAAGATCCCGAGCGATTCTTGGATACTGACAGAGGGAAGAGAAAAAACTTGGGATTAGCCTATGACAGTGCAGCTGAAATAGTGGGCTTCATTAAGAGATCCCAGTGTAGGCATGCATCTTGTCCTAGTAGGAATCCCTCTGAGCAACAGTTATGGTTTCCAACACGGTGGTTTCATTCAGACATTGACTCATATGTATTATCACAACCAGCCAAGCAAAGAAGGCTCTAGATGATGCTGTTAGGTCTGGAGAGCATCTCCTGAATGTGGGGATGCTCTTTAGATCCTTGCTATTGACCTCCATTCTCTGTGGAGCCCATTACTGAATGAGCTGTATGGTTCATGAGTGCATTAAAGGCTGTCGAGCCACTTAATGAGTTAAGTCAAGGTTTAGGGACATCTTTCACTTTGAATCCCATCAGGTACTTAACATAAAGCATCCAAACACTCTCAGGGTAGAGCAGGCTTGTTCCCTGCTTCTGGAAAACTATCCATCTGAAGATTTACTATGAGGCAGGTGAGATATCCACACACTTACTATGGGTTTCAAGATGACAGCCAAGATCTTTTTCACCAGAACAGGAAGCCTGTAAGTATTGAACTGGGATTTCAGGTTGGGATCCACAATGTCGCCTTTGCTGGAAGATGACAGAGTGAAGGGGTAGTCATGACAAGCCCATCAGTTTTAAACCCACTATGATAGCAGTGCTGCTTCTGAAGCAGACTTTGTCTTAGGATGAAGTTTCTAGAAGACAAAATCTGTCTGCTTTAGTCCAGCACTGAATAAGCAACCATCACATGGGGTTTAGATGCTCAGGCATAAATGCTTACTGTAAAAGCTATAAAGAAATAAGTTCTTCAACTCCTACATCATCAGCACGCCAAAGTGCTTTGCAGAGGTAGATCCATACACAGAGTAACCAAGGTGGAAACATGTCCAAGGTTTTCTTTAAGTTCTGCTGAAATCACTTAAGCTTAGCCTCTAAAGGAGGTTAAAATAATACAGAATATTTCACACGTGCTCTGGATTAACCATGCATATAAAATCAGCTGCTACAGTACAGCTTACACATGGTAAGCTATTTCCCCATAGTTTCTTATCTATGTGTGTTAACTAGCCCTGTGAACTAACCGTTATCTGTACTAAATTCATCCTTCCAGAAATTGCTCCTCTGATGCCCATTCTTCAGTGTGCACCCATGAGAATAATAAACGGATGCATACAATTCTCTGGCCATGTGGTGCCAAGTTCCAGGGCTCACGTTCAAAGCAAATGAGATTTACTCACAAGCAATCCACCAAGTGGGCAGCGCCATCTGAGAAGAGGCCTCTAGTGAAGAGCTCATCTACCATGTAGTCAATCTTGGGCGGTGCAAACGGAACAAGCTGCAGGAAAACCATCCACGTTCAAGAGGCAAGAGAGGCAAAGGATTTGTAAACCCTTCTGTAAATCTCGCTCTGTTGCTTCTAGTATGCAGGGTCACACATCTGGAGGGATGTGGGGGCCTGTGCTGCCCTGCAAGATCTCATTTTCAAAGGGGCTGATTAAGCAGCATCTGCCCATGGCCCTTCCCCATGCTCCAAGGCATTAACACATACTTGTAATGTGACCTGTGTCCCCACTTCCTAGAGAAGCCTCTTGGGAGGCCTCAAAGATACCACCATGAAAGGTATAAACTGGGTTCAGGGACTGAAGGATCACAGAAACTGCTGAGAATTTCATAGTTATTGGGGCATCAGGCATCACAGGAAAAAAAAAATCCCAGACTGAGCTTTAGAAAAGGGGTGACTTGTGTAGCACCAAGTGAGTAAAGGAAGGATGGTCCTTATTTTATGGGCAGCAGAAATGGATATGGGAAGTGACTTGTCCAAACTGTATAGGGTGAAGGAGGATAACAGCTCCTGGCAACCACAGGCATGAAAACTCACTGTGTGTCCTGCCTCCTGGAGGAGTTTTCTGGTCTGCTGAACAGCACGTCTCATGCTGGGTGATGGCATGAAGTAGCCATCTCCTTCATAGTACCCAATCCGAAGTGGCTTTGAACTGGAGTAAACCTGTGAGGAGAGGAGACAACACTTGGACACATGAGAGGTACAACATAGGACCATTCTCAGGGCAAGGGGAGGCAGCACTGAGGACTCTCAGATAGGAGGGAAAACAAGGAGCAATAGGTTTGGTAGAAAGCAGCAGAAGTGATATTCAGGACAGAAATCTGCAACAGTGGCCCTTGCTAAGTTTTTTTCTGATACTACCTCTTGCCATGTGAGGATGTGACAGTTTTGGGATGGCAGTGTGATAGCATCTCTGCAGATAATATGTCCGGGATGCCTGGCTGTGGAAAGAGTTCAGGGGCTTGTTTCTGTAGGGTAAGCAATGGGTCTGCATTGTTTGAGTATTGGGGACAGTATTGAGTATTTGAAAGATCAGGGCCCTCTAACCTGAATGAAAAATCAACAACCAGATAACAGTAGCAGAAAGCAAATGCTGATGCCTTTCTAGGTCAAATAAAGGCTCTTAGGCTAAACAAAGCCCTCGTGAAAAATGGGAGCAGTGAGATTCTGTGCTCAGGAGAGGTGAGCTCCTTCAGGGAGTGGGCCAGGATGAAGCCAACAAGCTTGCTTTGAGTGTTGCCTAGAAGGAAAGGCAAGGGCTCAATGTCTGGCAGGTTGCATCAGGACAAGCTGATAGAGACCTGCCAACCCTGCTGTGAGGCTATTTCTTGCAGTTGTTCATGATGGAGGCACTCTGTTCGGAAGAGATCTTTCACTATTTGCTCCTCTAGGTCCTTCACGATTTTTGCAGCATCAAACCAGATGGGAGTCTCCTAAGATCCCACTTTCTTGATGGCAAATGGAAGCATGGGACTGCCTCTGTCTCAGCCTTACTTCGTCATCAAAGGGGATGGGAGGCACAGTGGGGTCCAGCCGGAACATCTCCTTGCAGAGCAGCGCTTTCATGCACAGGGCCAGGCTGTCCACGTCCCTCGCCATCGGCCCCAGCATTGCAGTCACTGCAAGCACAAAGATCCCATCACTGCAGGCAGAGGGGCCCCTACTTACTGGTGGGGATCCAGCAGAGCAGGATTTCAATCAAGCTGGGAACACGGAATGATGTGATGTCTGAGGGATATGAGCAAGGAGACCCAGAGGGCTGGTGGATATCTGGGGCTGACCCTCTGGACCAGGTGTCTGCTGGCACAGCCCAAGCAGAAGCAAGGACAGCAGACTCCTTGAAGATTCTTCAGTGAAATATCCCAGGCCTATGGCTACGCACCTCACATTTCTCATTACTACTCATGGCATTGCTTAAGGGCATTTTGTTTCAGCTCGACTCTACCATGGTCAAGAGCAGATTAAGTAGTACAAAGAGGTAATACCACAAGGCAGGATCCAGGCTATTAGATCATCTATCTATCTCATTCACAAGACACATAACTGAGCAAGGACTTTTGCTGGCATCTCAGCAGTAGAAGGAGTTGTAAGAAGTGAAGGTTTGAAAATGGGAGAATATCTGGATGGACTTACCCGATTTCATTCCTACGAGAGGAGTAACCATACCCAGCTTGCTAGGAACATAATGGGAGAAGTGAATTAGTAGCAGCTCTTGTACAGTAAGTTACTATGCCGAGTTGCAAACTTCCCATTTGCCCATGGACATCATCTAGGAGAATGAAGGATCCTACACCTACTTAGCACTTTTTAGGCTAGAAAGACTTTCAAGGACTGGAAGCAGTTAGGAGCGACAGAAAGATTTTTCATCTCCTCTCCTTGGTGGGTATAATTTCTCATCCAGGATTAAATCAGCCCTGATGAAGGGAGAACTCTTACAAGCAAACCAAGGTCTGGGAACCATCTAAGGAGATGATCCTATAACAGATGGCTTTTAGCTTCATGGTCAGGGCTATGGATTGAATAGCTCTCTGCTGTATTAACTGTTAGAGGTAATCACCTATGATTAATAGAGTCCTAAGCCCTAGATATCATAAGGAAGCAGTCAGGCTAGGGTAGTAACATAACCTCAGATGAGACCATGGATATCTATTTTATAGTTCAGTGATCTGTGGGAGACATTTTGCAGCCTCCACAGTGGGTGAAGCAGCAGACAGATGATGGGGTGTACCTAATCCTTTCGCCTGTGGGTTTGAGTCCACACAACCCACAGAAGCTGGATGGTAGGCGGATGCTCCCAGCTACATCTGAGCCGATTCCCAGGATGGAGCCTCCCCCTGCGATCAGAGCTCCCTCGCCTCCAGAAGAACCTCCAGGGCTCTTCTTGTGGTTGAGAGGGTTCAGCGTCTGGCCAAAGATGAGGTTGCTGCAGTCATAGCTGTGGAGAGGAAAATCAGCAGATGAGTGAAGTATTTCTGTCTCTGCAAACTGTAAATACCAGGCATTGAGCATTCACACAGGGATGAATGTGGAATTAATCCTGGAGAATAGGATCAATATGAAATAGATTTGTTGGGAGAGCTGGATTTAGAAAGAAAGGGGCATCAGATACAGGAGAAATAAGATCTTGTCTCTCTAGCATTCTGTAGAAAAGCAATGAGGAAATGACTCTAGTTGAAAAGAGAAAGAAATTAGTGCATAATTTGTTTGCACAAGGGTGGGAGTTGGTACATGCAGGTCCACTCTCAGATCACAGGAGTCACATGGTGTAGCCGCATTTGCATGAAGGAAAGTGATTACTTTATCATGGTCTGCGAGTTGTTGGTTTTCACAAAGGGGATTGCTCCCTGGCTCTTTAAAACCTGGACGATCACACTGTCTTCTTCCTTCACTTGGCCCAGGAACTTCACCATCCCGCCAGAAGAGACGTGACCCTTGGGGATTGGAAATAAAGCTCTTCAAGGTCCAGGGAAGTTAGACACTTTCCAAGAAAATAAAAAATAAATCTTCAGAAGAAAGGTGAATTTGCTGAGTCCACAGATACTCATTTCAGAACATCCTTGTCTGAGGGAACTCTTGGCCATTCCCAAGGAACAAGCCCAGATCTGTTTGGGATACTTGCATGGGGTTGAAAGGATGGAACAGCTGTCCCTAGGTCCGGGCCAAGGACAGGAAGAGGTAGGTGAACCAGGGACGTACCTTGCAATTAATGTGGTCCTTGATACTGACAGGAATACCATAGAGGAGCCCCTTCTCCTTCTGCTGCTTCACTTTCCGGAGCTGATCCTCACAGCCGTGAATGAAATCTGTCACACAGTTCACTTCCTGCGTCACTTCCAAAGCCTCTCCAGAGGCACAGAGACAGGGTGAAGAGCAGTGAAATGGGTGGATGGAAAGACAACAGCATTTAAATTTAAAGTTTAAGCTGAATATTCAGTCCTCAAACCTCCAGCATTCACTAGTCAGACATTGTCTATAGACTTCGGATGTTACCTACTGAGATAATTTCCTGTCCTGGATCTCTGTCTGATTGATTTGTCCATAAGCCACCCTTTGACATTATGGTATTGACAAACTGTGGTCCCCAGAGTTGCTAGTTAACCCAGAACACCGGCTCTTTCTCAGTTTGGAAATCCCCCTCCCACTGTTTGTGCATCCAGATATACTGGAGAGATCACTCACTTTCCCCATGTAGGAGTAAAGGACACTCTCTAGGGACAGGGACCCCTCCTTCAGTTTCTCCACCAGCTCCACCATCGGCAGGGAGAGGATGTGCTCGGTCTGGACACCTGGGTTCTGCAAAGGGTAGAAAATTGAATACATGGGGGAAGATAGTGACAGTTTTCATCAGGGAAGAGTCCAGCTCACCTGAAAACCACAGAGGTATATTCATTCCCATCACTGGGTGGTTTATTGCAACATTGAAAAATATTGAAGAATGTCAAAGAATAATAAGGTTACTTCACCATCACTGAAACACTATTTTTTTCAGTGTATTACAAATAATCCCAAGGATAAGCATGACACAATTTCAAGCAGAAGAAATGCCATATATACTACATAACAACAAAAATCATTAGCAAAGAAAAAAAAAGAAAAAAAAAAAAAGGAAAACAGCTTCAAAATCTCTCACAAAACTACTTTCTAGTTTTTCAACAGTTCTAATGTCTACCCAGGGATGAACTTGAATGCAGCATTTTAAGGGGTGTTGGCTACAGAACTGCAGATCTGGCCCAGAGCAGTGTGCTGGAGGAGGGAATTTCCCAAGTCTCAGTTGCTAAAATACAACCAAAACAGGCAGAAAAAAACCCCACCTCAACTGGAGAGTTGTGTGAATGTCTAAGAGGTATGAGTGGCTGGTTTGTGTTTACTTTTTTCCCAGGCCTTTGGCCCCTTGCAATTAATAGACAACGTGTTGAAAGACAGTTAAACCAACAGAAGGTTTTCAAAATTTATCATTAACTTGAGAGAAAAAGAATGTCTGGTATGTCTGCAGCACCCTCTCCACAGTCCCCATCCTCCCTCTGCCCCACAAAAATAGAAAAGAGCTTTTCTTGAGTTCAAGACAAGTTCTGAATCCAAGGACCGAAGCCCCTCCTGCGCTTTGAGGATGAGGGGACAGCCAGTTTCCTGCAGGGGTGAGGGGATGGGAACAGAAAATGTTGGCAGTGGGGAAAGATGAAGATGCAGTAGTGCAGGGGGCACAGGGAATACTTGCTGAGGTTGGCAGCCCAATGCAGGGAGACCCAAGCTCTGGTCTGCCAGAAATCCACAGGATTCCCATAACAGGTCCGTGTTAAACAATACTGCCTTTATGTTGCCTTCACAGCGTTTTCCTGACCCAGGAGTATGGTCACCCTCAAGAAGAGTTGGTGCTGACCCAAGGCACAAGCACACTGTACACAGGCACTGTTGTGCTTGCCACCTTTCAAAAGGTGGCTGATCAGCACTCCCACCTTTGCTGGGATAATTCCTTCCTCCCAACACTTTTGCCCAGATTTACCTCTTTTTTAAACCTGCAGGCTGCTTTCTCCATTCGTTCCAAGGCCAGATCGCGCATCCTCCTTGCCTCTTCCATCTTCTGCTGGATCTGTCTCTGACCCAGCCATTTCAGCAACACAGTGGCTGCAGCTGAACCACAGAGCAGGGCTGAGAGCAGGCGAGGATCTGCCCATGAAGGATCTAGGAGCTGCCACAGTCGCTCTTGGGTCATATCTCTTCCAGACCTTTCCATTCTGGTCTACAGATACCTGGAGCTCCTAGTTTCTCCTTGCAGAGAGGTGGTGAATGCACAGACTGTTCAGTTCTGCCCTGTGCAAGAACAACTCTGAAGCAGAGCTGTGTTAACAAAGTCCAGGAATGGAGATTTTAGACCATGGACTTTGAAAGGGTCTGCTTGCCCGAGGAGCGCTGCAGGTTGGGCTGCAAGCAGCGTGCTCAGATCACACCGGGTTCAGAGGGGTGTCCCCAGGCTGTTCTCCCCAAGCCACTGCTGCTGCCTTAGCTGGCTGCAAGGAGGGATAGAGCTGATTAACTGAGCAGGAGGTCTGCAGAACTCAGCTCTGGGCTGCTCCCACCACACCCCCATCTCCAGCAATAATTAATTAGCAGCTAAGACCATTAGCTGAAGGTGCTCAGCTGTCATCTCTCTCCCTGAAAACAGCATGTGCAGCCCTCTGAGCCTGGGGACAGTGGTAACTTTGCCCCAAGGGCATAAGTTTAACAACAGTAAATAAATAAGTTTTTTTTTTTTTTTTTCCTGCTGGAGGTTTGTTGTAACCTCTCTGTGACACTGTTACTTTTGGCAAAATCTTCTTAGCTTGGAAGGGGAAGAAAATCCATCCGGCCACAGACCCTGCCAGGCACTGGCTGGCCCTTTGCCATGAACACTCAAGTGACGTGGGATCCGTGCCCTTCCCGGGCACCCTGGGAACGCCGGAGCAGCGCCAACCCTGCGCTGCCAGCTCCAGGCGGGAGATGGAAAACCCAGCTGGAAAACCTGGCCTGGCTCCCTCGAACCTATGGAGCAGGGAGCATGCAGGGCCGAGCGTCCCTCTGGATGCCAAACACCTGCATCCTGCTTCCACCTGTGACGCAGCAGCTGGTGCTGTGGGGAAGCAAGAGGAGGTGTTTGCTCAGCTCGAGGAGCTGATAACCACTGAGGGCAGCTCCCCTGCAATCTCCTGTGTGCCCCCCTGGCTGCAGTGGGTGCTGTGGGAAGCTGCCAGCTCCTCCCTGTTTGCTAGAGGCTGCAGTTCCAAACTCTGATTGCTGAGCGCGGCAAGCAAAAATGCTGCATTTCTTCTCTAGCAGCTTCCCTGGAGCAGAACATTCAGGGAGCAGCTCTCTTCCTATGACGCCGTGAGCCTGAACAACTGAGCAGCTGGGACCAAACTACCACCCCTGCATCAGTTTCCCCACTTATAAATCATATTATTCCACTTCCCTGGAGTGTGTTGAGAGGATTATTTAATTCCCATTCAAAACATCAAACAACAGACTCCTTTCCATCATAAAAAAGATTGTATTAGGGTAATCATTGCAAAAACTCCAACCGAGTGGATCATGACTCTGTTTCCCCTTGT